TCGGTTCCGAGTCTTTGCTCAATAGAATTGAACATTTCCTTGAAATGAGCGCAACCTTTAAGTAAGTCTTCCTCGAATCGGGGCTGACATCCGATTACAGTCGACAACATTTGTGCCAACAATTGGTAACATTCAGTGTTCACGTAAAGAACCGAGAGATCAATCATTTTGGGAAAATCTATCAAATAGTTGTCGTATAGTAAGGCTCCGAATGTGTTCTCTGAGATATAGTTTGTCTACAAAATACAGACAAAAACAATATTTCAATGCATTTGTAGTAAAATTTACAAATATTTCCAAATACTTTCGTTTCGAAGAACGAACAGATCCTGAGATATAACCGAAAGACCAAATTGTGAACTCTTTTAAGACACGTCTTCATCTCATTAGTGATTAAAGAGTTATATAACTCGTGATCTCTCGGAGCGGATCCCAGATATGACTCCAGACTTATTTGAAAACTTCGTTCGTATATAAGAGTCGACCAAAACCTTAACAAAAGTCTCATTAATAATGAAAAACAAATGATATCACAAGAGATATAATTACTGATTGTGTTGTAATGTCAACAATGTTTTGGCCATTTCTTCGAAGTTGTTCACATCGGCGAACCATTTCTGGATCTCTGGATTGTTGGCCAAGTCTTGTCCAGTGAGATGCGAGTCTGCGATTGTCTTCATCGGCGGTGGACTGAATTTGACGAAAACCATGGCGTGAGAGAACTTTATGTGCTTTTAAACAAATCAATCATTATATGAGACAATCGCTGATAACATATGGTGTGAGGAGTGAGTGCCTACCAGTGCCGGGTAATAGCGCTCAATGCCATCCCTGTCCTCAAAGCGGATGGTTCTTCTCTCGAGCGGTTCTCCATTCAGTTTCTGTTCAACAAATGGTTGCAAAACGTGTTCATTAAAAAACAAGTCATTCATTCATCAAAACCTCTGTGTTTTTGCTCCTAATCTTCGGCCGAACGGAAGCGATGTCTGACCTCTTCATTGGATTTCAAAATACAATTTGTTTTAATAAATAAATATTAAAAATAAAATTAATTTAAAGTAAAATACAATTCAATGCAAACGAGAAAAAAAATAACAAACTATTAACGCATTCATTAAACGTATAAATGATTACAAAACATATATAACGTTACAAACGAACCATTAGTTTAGCCCCCAATCGCTGTGTTTTAGGCTGTTTTTGACCCAAATGTTCACTTCTCCGCCCAATCCCTAAATTCGTAACGCTATTTGTGTGTGACTTATGTTTACTAAATATGTGATACAAATGCTGTGACAATACATTTGTGAGTATTTAAGCGAAACGAGTGAACGAGTGATGAGATTATTGCCATTAATTGTGAGATTTGTTTGTTATTATCGTTTGTATTAGCGATGAATTGAAATGTGATTACAATATGTTTGTGAGATAATAGTCACTGAATTGGTTGCGCTCTCCAGTCGTCGTCAATACAGACAAAGTGTATGTCTCAGTGGATGGCAATCAATGGTCAATCCATCAACTCTTTCACTGCATTTTAATTGTGAGTCATTTCTATTCAAAACTCTTGTAATTGTTTATAAACTAAACATTTGTTTTTGGAAATTAAATCTAATTTATAATAAACACATTTTTTGGTCACGAAATGACATAACATTACAAAAACAAACGTTTAGTTTATATACTGTTTTAGTGTATTATTACAAGCGATGAATCATTGAATTGAAAACACATTATCAATGTCTGCATTATCTCACGATTCAAACAAATCATCGCTTTTTTATTTGATATCATTTTTTCTAACATTCAATACATTTATTTATATGTGAAGTAAAGGCCGGAGTTTTTAACGTAAACTTTTTGCTCAAACCGTGGTTTAGATACCGAAGAGTGAGAAGGAAAGAGAGATAGCGATGATTGGTGTGAAGTACCGGCAACTGGTCTCGTCGGTCAAGACTTCGGGCTCTTCGCGTAGTTTTGTGCTCACTTTGGCGATGGGAATGACGTTTGGCTTCAGTTTCGCGTATTTGTTGCTCAGTGTTGTCCACTACCAGAGGGTTGGTCTTAACGCCAACACATTCTTCATGCCGTCGTCCCTACACGACGACCACCAGCACAGCGACGCCGACCCTCACGACCACCACAGCCTCGACAGTGTTGTCGGCCCATCAGATCCCGTCAGTCTTCACTCACACGACGAACAGTTTCATAAGGGTTTGTCATTTTCTCTTTCTTCCTATCATTTCTCAAACAATTAGTTTTGTTTAATATTAACTAAATATATAAACAATTAATGCATTTTACGCTAACATATAGAAAGTTTTGCTAAACAATTAATGAAAAACTTTCGCTTTAAAAATCACGTTTTTTGAAATATAAATGATTACTTAATGGACTGAATGCATGTCTGGCCTTCGCTTTCATAATAGAGCTGTTCATTAGCGGTAATTTGTTTTGAATACAATGTTTAGATGTATTAAATAATCAAAAATAATAAATTAAATTAAACATAATTTAATATCACAAGTATTGTGTCTAATGTGCAAAACTATCTGCAAAACTATCTAATGTGCAAACTATTTATTATGAATTACAAACGATGTAAAAGTTAGTAATAAAATTGCTATAAATTGTTGTCAATTGAATTCAATGTAGCACAATGTTAAACGCAACTATATTCAAAGACTTGCTATTTAATTATTTTTTGCATTAAATTTAATGTATTGTAATTTACAATACTTAAAATTTTGTAGTCATTTAATTGTTTAGCAAAGTTATCAAAAAATATGCTCAATTGTAGGCAATAATTGAATTGAACATTGTAGAGATAAAGGCACTATCATTGAATGTGGTAGATATAGGATAAAGTGTTGGAATGTATTTCAAACTTTGAAAACATGATAATCATTGATATTAGACATACATTTATGGCCTGAATAAACAAAATGTGAATCAATAAAACTTTTATATAAATATTTAGTCAATTGATTACACGTTTATTTATATAATAAAATAATAAAAATAAAATAAATTTGAATGTCTTTTAGACGACGACTTAGTGGCCAAAGAATTAGCGAAAAAAGTGCGGATATTGTGTTGGATTATGACTAATCCCGATAATCACGAGACAAAGGCCAAGCATGTGAAGGCCACGTGGGGTCAGAGATGCAACACATTGTTGTTCATGAGCTCAACCGCTGACCCGAGTCTGCCGACAGTCAAACTCGATGTGAAGGAAGGCAGAGACCAATTATGGGCCAAAACCAGAGGCGCTTTCAACTACTCATACCATCACTACCTTCAGGAAAACGATTGGTTCCTCAAAGCGGATGACGACACGTATGTTGTGGTCGAGAATCTGCGGTACTTTCTATCGTCACAGAATGCGACGGATCCGGTGTTCTTCGGCTGCAAATTCAAACCATACGTCAAACAAGGTTTGCATTTAGTTTACGCGACTCGAGGCCATCAGTTACTACATATACACATAATGTATAACAGGGTATATGTCCGGCGGTGCGGGATATGTGTTGAGTCGGGAAGCGCTCAAATTGTTTGTGGAGAAGGGTTTGAGTGAAGGGCACCCAAAACGATGCAAAGAGGGTAAAGAGGGCGGCGCTGAAGACGTCGATATGGGTCAGTGTTTAGAGACATTGGGCGTACGGGCGGGAGATTCACGTGATAGCTTAGGCAGAGGCCGATTCTTCCCCTTCGTTCCCGAACATCACGTGATTCCCGGACACGTCGACAAAAGCTTCTGGTACTGGCAGTACATCTACTATCCCTCACAAGAAGTAAGTGCTTTGAACGCAATACAAATAAATGAGTTTACAAATTGTTTAATTCTAGGGAATGGGCTGTTGTAGTGATACCGCCATATCCTTCCATTACGTCAATCCCAATATGATGTATGTCTTGGAGTACTTATTATATCACTTGCGTCCGTACGGTATAAACACCAAAATTACTATCGACTCGAGCGCTGCCAACACCGACTCCGATGGCCAACACATCACTACATCCGTTAACAATCGGGTGAAGCGTTCGCTCAAAAGCCTTACAAAGACTCAGCGCTCGCACCTCTTCAGAGACAGTATTATTGGCGACGATTTGTTGGACTAAATTGTATGAGAAAACGATGGATTAAATCCATCAGTTCTATGTCTAACCAAACATTTGCATTACAAGCAAACACTTTGTGATACCATTGGATTTAACGATAACTATTTTTTACAACAAAACCCGCAAAATATTGTCTTTTTTAGTGATAAACACTTTCGAGTGTTTGTCTCGACATTCCATTAGTGCCATCATTTGCTCCGACAATAGTTTTAATTGAAGTTTAATTTAATTGCAATTCATTTCTAGTCAGTATTATTTTGAGTCATTTGTCCAACAATTACCTTGATCACTTTTGTTATATTTAAAGCCATTTATATTTAAACAAAAAACCATTTTGTTTTATTCATTTTTCAAATTTAATTTAATAAAATCAATTTTAAAACAATTATTTACATTTAACTAGAGTGTAAATTACATTTAATTTAACAAAAGGGTGTCACAGAATCGACAATTATATGCCACTACAGTATACTTGTTGGTCATAAAAGGCATCCAATGTATCAGTTTTGGCATATTTTGACAAAATTCCCGAAATGACTGTTTGACTCATATTTAAAGGCTTACAGGTATTGAAGAAAAAAACTTCGGTTAAAAAGTCTTAACGGTAGGCAAAGTGTATAAGTTATACAGTATAACAGTATAGCAGTAATATTACCAACGAGTGTAATACTAAAAACTGTTATAAAATGTGATGAGAGATAATACTGTCAAAACTCTCGGTAAGAAATCTCTCCATACAAACACTTGATATATTGATAAATTTTCTATACATATAATTAGTAAACCGAAGTATGAATTGACTCAAAATCTAATTGCCCACAAATGCTAGTTTGACACTTGAATGCCGATTGTGGGCTCAATTTGCAAGTTTTGATGGCTCAACAATCGGGGTTAAGGTAGAAGTGAATCGACAAAACTAATAATAAACTTCAAAAGATGCTAACGAAGCAAACGGAACGTTACGTTAGTCCACACAAATTAGACCCTCATTTTAGACACAGTGCTATTTAGAGCACATCTCGTTATACAGTATAATGTCATTCACTGTCATTCACTGATTTGCAATATTTTGAGTAAACATGTGATGATTGTTCAAACATTTATTATATTTGTAAATCATTTTACGACTAAACAATTGGACTATTATTTGTCAAGAATGAGAGTTTAATAGCATTTATTAAACGAAATATAGATTGAAAGGAAATGACAGATTATCGCTAATATTGGTCATCATTTTTTTTATTCATAATCAAATTCAACGTAAATATAATACAAATAAATCAAATTACAAATAAAGTATATACCACTTACTGTTGGTGTGGACCACAAGTGTTGACGCAATCCTTAGAATATAAAACTTACCAAATATTCATTTAAATTGATGTCTATTTTGAAATAAATTCTATTGATTAAGCAATAATAGGCCACCGAAGCCATGAGAAATAGGTTATAAATAAAATGCTTACCAATTGTCACATTTTCAAAGCATTACCGCAATAATAAATGTAATAAATATAGCAATCATTCACAACCCCTTATGTCGAACCTCTCAATAGTCAACGAAAAGTACTCTTCGATTATTGACGCAAATAAATAGCGAAATAATTTGCAACACAAATGACTCGCATTTCGATGTGAAAGTCGCGCTCTTTTCATATCTTTAAACAATATTTTCTAATTTTCTTATTTTGTGCCCGAATTCTCACATTTTCTCATATAATGGATAGTATTTTCTTGAGCCGAGCTTTTCGTTAAGTAATTTTTAGAAATCAAAGCTTCAGTTCTTAACGCTTTCATTAGTTTTTCAGTTTTCGTTCTCAAAACTCCGGTTATTGTATTTGGAAGTGAAATACTTCACGAAAACATTTTTGACAAAACAATTTCTCAATTTTCATTTCTCTCTTCAATACTGTTTTCTTAATTTCTTTTCTTAAATTCATTTCTTCTAAAACTTCTACCGAATGGCAACTCCTTTCAGAAAATGAAGAAATAGATTACAATTACAATTCACAACAAAAGGTTCAATTGTATGGCATTTTGGGTTTTGAAACGTTATCTTTACTAAATGTAGTGTTCATTAAAAGTCATCTTATTTTTGGTATAATTAGTGTTTGTAATGATTGTACAGAAAAAGGTAATTATCATGTAATCAATTAAAATCATTGGATTATAATATTGTTTACAATATGTTTATGAATACAATTAGTTTCACAATTAATGATTGAAACGAAAAAAATATAGTTTAGCTAAAAATAAGTGTAAGTTATTATTAATATTATTACGCTATTAATTAACGGTACAATTATTACGGTTTTGTGTCAATTGAAACATAAAGTTATAATTGTTTTGGAAAATTACACAAAAGATTATTTCAATCGTATATTTTGTTTGTCTTTTTGTAAATAATAGTCACTCAATGGGTCTCTCAATAATAGTGAGAATACTTACGGGGAGAATGAGATCGCGATCGAGAATAACGGCCTCTTCTCTCGTTTCGGGAATAGTAAGGAGAGGGAGATCTGTCGTAACTGTTCCCTCCATATCGACCGCCGCCCCTATCATACCCACCGCCGCCGCCGCCTCTACTGCCGCCCTCTCTATATCGCGGACGATCACCACGACTGCCGCTACCGCCGCCATCATTACTACCACCACTACTAATATAAAGAATCAATCAATTAGTAACCAAATAGATGTCAAATGTCATACTACGTTGGTTTCCCCATATATATGCCAGGAGTGGGCGTATGAGCTCTTTGTGTGATCGAGAAGTCAACGCGAATTTTTCTGCCATCGATTTCAATGCCATTACACCTGTCTTTGGCCTTCAAAGCAATTTTCAAATCAAAATACATTCCTCGGGAGACATAACATTACATACCATCGCCGCGTCGTTCTTGTCTTCATAATAGACGAACGCGAATCCTCTCGAGCGACCGCTTTGTGCGTCAAAAACAATCTGAACGTCTTCTAAGGGCCCGTATTTGGCGAACACGTCCTTCAAATCCCTCTCTTGTGTGTAAATACTTAAGCCGAAGATCCCGAGGCAGCGACTGGTGGGCGGGGCCTCGCGGTTGCCAACGTGTCGGCGACGAGAAGACATTGGGGACCGCGAGTGGTCTCTATGACGCTTAGAGTGCGACTCGTGGCCGCTGTCGTGGCGTGACTTTCGCTCGTAACCGTCTCCCGAAGATCGTCTTTCGCGACCACTTCTAGCGATTCATAACAAAGTAAATTCATTACTCAAAGCCATATATAAATCAATTGCAAACTTACACTCTTCGAGATCGAGGACTTCTTGAGCGTGACTTTGAGTGATCTCTTCGGTGGCGACTATAACGATGAGAATGAGATCGACTCCTGTGGTCCGAGAAGAAGCGGTTATAACACAAAGTAATGACAAAACAAACAAAATAATTCACGCAAACCTTGAATGGGATCTCTTTCGCGGCGATCGCGAGCGAGCGGTCGGACGCGGAGACCGGGAGTGGGTTCGCGACCGACGAGTTGGAGACTCTGAGCCGCGACCGCCCGATGCGCTCCGATTGGACGCATTCGAGTGATGAGAACCGTTCTCTTGGCGTTCAGGCGATTCCTGACATTCAGACAAAAACCAAAACAAACAAAATGTAAATAACTTTCAATTTTTAATCAAAAACAAAACAATCGTTTGATTGCAAAACAAACCTCTCGATCACTCATTGTGTCCAAAGAAGTGAATGTCTTTAGTGATGGCAGAAGTGGTAATCAATGAATGGTTTGTTTTGAGACAAAGAGTGGTTTGAAGTGAATTCAAAAGTAATGGTCAATACATTGAAAACACACCGACTTATGGCCGACGGAACCGGATATGAATGCATCCGCGCTTCACAACAATCACGTCTCGTCTCTACTTTTGTGACAACTTTTGTAACTTTTGTTGCTTTCTATGAAAGGAGTCAAATGTCTCTACAATTTATATCATTTGCCATAATATGGTGTTAACTAATTACAAATAACAAACTAAACTTGGTTAGTTATATAATCAAGTATATTCCGCAAAGGGTATCATCAATAAATCGCATCAACTATTCAATCGATTAACAGTTTTTAATTTATTTTATATAAAATATTTTCAATTAAAAATGCTTGTGATTTATATTAAATAAAAAATTTTTCAACATTTTCTTAATTAAGTATTTAAATGTAAAATAAATAGACATAAAAAATTAACAATCATTTTGATGTTTGATGTAAATATCAATCAAATAGTAAAATAGAAAACACATTACTGTTAACTTAAGTATTGAGACTATCGAAGACCTATAACAGGTATTATAATGGCATTCAATGTAATCAATAAATAATTGTTGTAACAAAATGTAACATTAAATACAAATTTTGTTTCTCATTCCATCCAAACTGAACATCAATTCCAAGTTTGCACTGAAATGTTGTTTCAATTGTTATCTCAATTGAATAATTTGAGTTATGTTTTGTCTAATTCCAAGAAAAGGCACAAAAGTGTGAAGAATTCATTTTTGAGAATATTTAGTTCAAATCAATTTCAAATAATGAAAACTCTTTGAGTGAGCAAATGATTGCATCGACTTTTGCAACATTTTGTTTCTTTCGTTGACTTTCATTACGTTTTAATCGTTATTAAACCGTCGGAACAGTTATAACATATTATTATCCGATTCTCTATCATTTTCATTAATCTCTTGTTTAGATGTCTGCCATTTAAAGTTACTTTTCATTTGCCATTTCTGAGATTTTCTTGCGTCGCACCGCTTAAGCACCGGTAGAGTCGAGTCTTTCTCGGGATCCGCTTTATCTAAACAAAGACCAGTATTTCTGTGAACAATAGATTTTGTGCGTTCGCTGAAATCCCACATCTGATTGCCTCCCATTCCGTGACAGCGAATCAATTTCACAGAACTCTTAGCATTCGAAGCGTCCAAACAATTGTCGTCAGACATAATCTGCTTTTTCTTCGTATACGCAAACACTTGATTTCCTCCCAATCCGTGGCATTTAGCTATCGCTAAATTTTCACCACTTTTACGCTCATATGTATCCAAACAGTTGTTGTTATCAATATTTTTAATGTCTCCCAAAGAATAGTAGTCTAAAGGCATAGAACTCTCGGGATATATATTCTCTAAATACCATCGAAAGCCTACAAACAAACATATCATTTGAATAACAATTTTATCATTGATTTAAAATCAAATACTTTTGCATTTAAGGTCTCGTCTTAATTGTTTGCGAGACTCAGTGTTTCCCATCTCCGCCTTCTTTGCCGCCGGATTTATGGCATAATAAAAGTCTTTCCATTCGTCGAGCCATACGTCTGCGAGTCTCGCGTTGTTGTGGTTCACTATTTTACTCGTCCCGCCGGGAAAGGTATACGGCGTTGACTTCCGAAACACGTGTCCGACATGACTACACGTCACGATCTCGAGAGTCCCGCCGCACATCCAAATGCGGAAACTCATCTCCAGGTTCTCTCCGCCCCAGATATCCATCCCTTCGTCGTATTTCCCCAATAACTCAAAGTATTGCCTATCGATTGAGAACAAACCGCCGGCCATTGTCGGTGTCCTCACTGGAAGTGTTCGATCGTTTTTTCTTCGGTCCAATTCTCGTTGAGGAACGCGATACCTGTCCCACANTCCGCCCCAGATATCCATCCCTTCGTCGTATTTCCCCAATAACTCAAAGTATTGCCTATCGATTGAGAACAAACCGCCGGCCATTGTCGGTGTCCTCACTGGAAGTGTTCGATCGTTTTTTCTTCGGTCCAATTCTCGTTGAGGAACGCGATACCTGTCCCACACATCAGGCTATTATTCATTCAAACTTATTCTAAAGCATATCATTACATACCACCGGAAGTTGAGTTTCCAATTAAATCCACCCCAAGTCATGTCTGAGGCCGGAATATATTTAAAATTGTCATCACTTATCACATCAATAACAGGACAGACAACTCGAGACCTGTATTAATAATATTAACAATACTTATTGACATGTATTAAAAATAAATTAAATATAACTTATATAAGAGATCAGAATTATATAGTGGTCAACACATATGTTCAGACATGTGCTTGATCATTGATTATCATCATTTAATACAAGTGTATTAACATTTCAAACATAGTGTATATAATTCATACTTGTTCTCAACAATTCTTGAGAGGAGCGGTTCGAGCCATCCTATAGTGCACTCGCAATGCGAGTCTAAAAATGTGAGGACATCTCCTTTGGCCACTTTAGCGCCTATAAGTCTGGCCCGTATTAGACCCGAGCGTTTGCCCGTTCGCAACACTTTCACACTAACCGGTAGTTTAGATACATATTCCTCTAATTGTTTGCCTAAGAATACTGTCAAATAACAAAAAATTGTAAATATGCTTAAAATTAATTAACATATTAAATATATAGAAATTAATAGAGCGACCACTCAAACGAATAATAAAATATTGCAGTCATTAGATAGTAATTACAATACAAAACAATTATGTGGCCATAAAAATACAATTAATTTCTATAAACATTTACAATATTTTGAATATACTGTATATCAATACCTCGTTGACTCGCGTCGTCCACTAAAATAATTTCCTTAATTAAAGATTGCGGAGACGTTTGAATGATACTATGAACTGATAAAAAGTTTATTATAATAAACGTATATCTATTTGATGAGTATGTGTTGAATGGGTTGACATACCGGTCCTCAATAATGTACTCCAGGCCTCGTTATGAAACACTATTATCACAGAAGTTGTCGGAAGTATTTTTGGATATCTCTTTCGTTTACATCTATTTGAAAGACTTGGCATTAATGAAAAGATGCAATTCTATAACAATTGTATACAAACCCTTCTAATCTGACGTCTGGAAGAGATCTGTTCATTGCTATCCTATCGCTGGCCAATAGATTGAATTGATTGATATGAAACAATGCCTTCACTTTCATTTGTTCAAACTCTGGGATATAAACGGCGACACCATTTTCACCGGCTTGTGGTACCGGAGAGTAATTGTTTTGATTGAGAAATTCTGCAAATAGTCAATATCGTTATGACTACAAAAACACTCTAATAATGTAAATGCAAATCAATTGCACATTTATTCCATATTCTAGATATGGAATATAGACATGTGTTCCTAACTATATGGACCATATAATATGGTAGTACTGGCCATCACTGGTGGCAAAAGTGCTAATTCAGCAGAAAATAAAGTTGTCTATGAAAACATCATGCTCATCCTATAAAATAGTGCATTCTTGTAAAATCATTCAATTTTATATCAATAAACTATACATCTAACTATACAAAAAGTTCAATACATTATACAATACAATAAATTAAATTAAATTGCTCAAAAATAGGCTTAAAATACTTGTAAGCTTTATTATACATGACACGTATTTCTGATAAACCATTAACGTGTTGGCAGATTATTAACGCTGTACTGTATTATACTGTACAATACTGGAAATGTACTCAATTTGGGTACAATACTCTGTGTTATGCAATATTATAGGATTCTATAAAATAACTTGTGCTAAAACAATGTTTGCAACTTAATCTTTGGTGGCATTTCCAATAGGATGTGCCAACACTTCGCACTTTTATATTTTCAAAATCTCTCCAAATCTCAAAATATTATACAGTATTTTCATTATCCTTTCATATTATCCATTCAAGATCTATCATATTCAATTTAACTACACTACCATTCTCTCTCTCTCTCTCTCTCTCTCTCTCTCTCAATTCACTTTGTTTGTGATTGAAAAGACAATTGTAAATCAAAGTATAAGAAGTGTTTGATAGGCTAACCATCAGTATTATTAGGCGATCCATTCCAAGTGAATCCATGTCCGCCGTTATAGTGGCCGACGATAACGTGGACACCCTTTTTGTTGATATACTGGTTCTGATGGCCCGGAAGGACACGTATGACATCGTCGTCCACTTTCGCAACACAAAAATATAATGCATTGTATTATCAAATCAAATGAGACCTCAATTGGGATAATAGGAAACAATAGATTGAAAACAAGCGATAAAATCGTGTAATAGTTAGAGAAAGATGTGAAGGACTGGAAGAGTAGTACAGGTGTTGTGTTAGCTCTACACAAGTGCACAACACTTACCGATTGTGTTATCTTTTTGTTGCGAATATTTGACAATAAAAAATGTGACAAACATTGAGATAAACACCAGAGGAATGACTGTCAACAGCAACAGGTGTCTCACTCTTCGGCGGCCACAACACCGACGGGTCGGGAGAGACATCTCATGTCATGTCATCACTTCTTAACTCATCATCACATCGATAAACATTGCGTTCAATTCAATGCCTCAAACATCAAGTATTTGCACAATAAAACACTAAAACACACCAAACATTAGGAAATGCATGCAATGAATGCTAACACAGAGTCCGGGGATTGAGTCAACGCTCACATCATTTATGGTAACGAGTGTTGACTCAATCAATGCATTAGAAATCGTGTGTTTTGTGTGTCTCTCAAGTGATGTACAGATAAAGTGAGAGCAGAGACTCATTCCAGTCATTGAGTGATTGCAGTGAATGAACAGTCGGTATAGCAATACAGTAGGCATACAGAGAGGCAGAGAGAGTGCGAGTGAGGAGTACTGTAGTAGTGGTGAATACGAGTGTATCGTTCAATACATTTCACCCATTTTTCCAACCTATCACTCAATGTATGAGATCTGCGGACACAACTCGTTGTCACTCATATAGTGTACACATAATAGTTAGTCAACTCTCGTATATTGTTGTGCGAAATGTTGCGGCAGTAGTGGTGTTGTTGTAGTGGATGTGTTAGCGGTGATCATCAGTGATGGCAGTGTTGGTGATGCGGCCATTGGTGCGATGGCACACATTTCGGGTGATGTTATTGACATCGATGGTGTGGCTTATCGTCGGTGTATGTCTTCTGGTGTATTATATGGAGTGTTTGGCACAAAACGCCGTCAATTGTAACCGAAACACACAATTCAATGACATTCGCGATCATAACAACAATAACCAGCGATTCAGCGATGAATCCAATGACTATCTCAACGATAATATTGTCCAAAAGTTTGTGTCCAACCAAAAAGCAGACAATAGTTTTTTACCTCAATATAAAGCCAATCAACTCAGGCCTTGGTCTCCAAGAGGTATGCAATCAATGCCTTGTATTGAATGATATGTAATAATGATTGTGTTTGCGGTGCAGTCCTGAAGTCGAATCCCTCTCATTGGTTGGGAGAGAACGGAAAGGCAGTCATAATAGGCAAAGAAGAAGAGGACCTCAAGAATGAAAAGTTTAATTTAAATAAATTCAATCTCTTGGCCTCCGATAGGATAGCTCTTCGAATCCCTCTCATTGGTTGGGAGAGAACGGAAAGGCAGTCATAATAGGCAAAGAAGAAGAGGACCTCAAGAATGAAAAGTTTAATTTAAATAAATTCAATCTCTTGGCCTCCGATAGGATAGCTCTCAACAGATCCCTTCCTGACGTCCGAATGGATGGGTTTGTCATTACATTTGTTTTATGAGTTTAGAAATGATCTTATATTTGTATCGACTCTTGTGACCAACAGCTGCAGACGTAAACATCACCCAAAACTGCTTCCCTCGACATCTATAATAATTGTCTTTCATAACGAGGCGTGGAGTACACTATTGCGCACCGGTATGTCTTGTAGTCGAGTTGAGCACACGTTTTGTTCATAATTATGTTTTAATCCTCAGTTCATAGTATTATCCGTACGTCTCCGGAACCACTCATCCAAGAGATTCTTTTAGTCGATGACGCCAGCGAAAGAGGTATTCATTTTTATTACCTTAATTCAAACGGTGTCCACAATTATATTTTATTATGAATTGAACTCATTTAATATTTTAATAATAGCGGTAAATGTTGTTTTAAATGAATTGCAGTTCATATTTTTAAGGCTCAAATTGTTAGGCCTATAAAGAGTTGGCAGTAAAATGTTTAGACTTGAAATTAATCTATTGAACGAAAGATTAGATTTTATATTGAAATGTATGGCTTAGAAAATGAGCTGTAAATGTCTTAATTCGCTTGAAATATTGAAATCTCAACTCAAATCTGTTTGTTTTCTTATTAACTTTAAAGCAAAACAATTACCATTCGTTTAATGTAAAGTTTTAAAACACAAATTTTAAGTTCTTAGACCCCTATAATGTATCTAACATTTATAAATCACAATACTTTACAAACAATGCTGTAGTGAAGCATTAAATTGATATCGTATTAATGCCTCGCAGACAGCTATTAAACAGTTTAACAAAATTAATCTACAAAAACAGATGTCTTACTAAACACTTTTTGTAATAATAAATTGGATAAAAATGTTTTGCATTTATTATAAAAATTTCCACAATTTATTACTGGCAATCATTTATTTACTTAAAGCGTTATTTTATTTATAGATTTTTTAGGTAAACAATTAGAGGAATATGTGGCGACACTACCGGTTAGTGTGAAAGTGTTGCGAACGGGCAAACGCTCGGGTCTAATACGGGCCAGACTTATAGGCGCTAAAGAGGCCAAAGGAGATGTCCTCACGTTTTTAGACGCTCACTGCGAGTGCACTAAAGGATGGCTCGAACCACTCCTCTCCAGGATTGTTGAGGACAGGTATGCAATGCTTAAAAATATTAATTTAATCTTGTATTGAATGATGATAATCAATGATCAAGCACATGTCTGAACATATGTGTTGACCAAAGTATGATTCTGACTGCTTTAGTGATTATTTGTTTTACATTTTTGTTTTATGTTGTATTAAATGTTTAAATGGTTTTGTTTTAGAACTCGAGTCGTTTGTCCTATAATTGATGTGATAAGTGATGAGAATTTTGAGTACATTCCGGCCTCAGACATGACTTGGGGTGGATTTAATTGGA